TCAAAACTCTGCCATGACTTAGCTTTCAATGATAACACAGGATTCAGAAATGCTTTTTGCTCTCCATAATCAGCGAACTCCCAATCTCGAAGTATTGGATTTCCTTGCTCATGAGATATCTCTACAAATATCCAGAGCCAGATATACGGTGCAGTGAGGTATCCCATTGGACTATCTTCATTTACGTGTTCGAATCGAATCAGTCCAGACCCAGCATATTGGTCTGGCGTTTTTTCGGTATTGGGAACAGGTTTGTATAAATTTAAGAGAGTTCGGGTCAATATTGCTCGTGCAACGGACCTGGCGTCTTTCACAGAACCAAAAATAGCATCACGATATTTCTTAGTAAGGTCCCTACGCAGATCGCTCATCAAATCATTAAGGTTACATTCATCAATGTTACGGCCGACCAAGCAATCATTCAAAATTTCTAGAGCCCTTCCATGTCCTCCACAGTTTCCACAAGAATAATAGTAATCGGATCATTTTTAAATACCGGGACCAAGCTATCTCCTTGACGATAGTTTGGAGGTTGTAGAGAAGTGACCGGTAAGTATACATGTTTCCGATGCGAGGTTTTTAACGTACCCTTAATCGGGCTAGTGATTGTTGAAGTACAAACTGATATCACGAAACTGCCACTAACTGTAAGGTCTGCAATAGCTGACAGTGTACGGTAAAACAGAGATTCTGAGTCAAGACCATCATCCTTATTGGACATAAGCTGTTGCATACTGTCAACGATCAAAATAACTGTAGTATCCTTCAGGTCTCGGTTATGATGTTTGGCTATCAATGACACGACACCTAATGGAGGTGGTGGCTCATATGTGAGGCGAGTACTTTCAAACTCCATTTTTTTCCTGAGAAGTTGCGATAGCATTCGAGTACCAACGCCCAGAAAGAGTCTTCTCCCGGTCGTATGGATGTGCCATTCTCATAGCTGACAAGGAATACCCAAGCTTCTTTGATCCTAGTCAACAATTTCATATCTTCTTCAGCTGATAAACATGCGATCCCTGTCTGATGGAATTCACTAGCGTTTCGAGATTTTCTGGTACCAGCTCCAGAAAGGAAGAGATAAATTGGAAGCGACATTTTGTCAAAACGCCCTAAAAGAAAATTTTCATAATGTACTTTAAGCTCCCTTCGCAAAATATGCTTCAAAGATGGGTGAGGTTGATATTCCCAATTCACACCAGAAGTGCAGGGTAAAGGATCTGGATTCAAGTATGGCAAGCCTAGCATATAAATAGTATATTCAGTCAGCCTTAATATATGAATGGCGAGTTTCAGATGAGAATTATTTAATACATACCTTCTGGAAAGGCATCAGCGATTTTTACTCTCGTTTGTGCTACTGCATGCATTATTAAAATAGGACAGTCCCATAATTACTAGTTAAGATAATAAAAAGGTGTAACAAATAACAACGGCTATTAAAAGTTAGGACCGCGTTCACTTGCGTCGACTAAATTTATTACGACTCACTTACCCTCTACGATAACGCGAATGTGTTTTTGGGGCGGGTTTAACGATAAGAAGCAGGAAAGAAAAGCACAATAATAAGTAAATATTCGGTATTATTGGCAAGTATGACAGTCAGGAACGCACCAGAAACAGACTTCTTCGATAGCCCTTTCAAATATACAAGCTTAGCGTTATTTGTCTTGTAGAGATTAAGCAATTTTTCCACATCAGCTAATTTAGTACCCTTGTCAGTGAGATATACGTATAAATTGGCTTCCTCATCCTCACCTAATTTATTAGGCTCTTCAGAGAGACTTTGAACAGTATTAATAATATTATCAAGCGACATGTTGTTTAACTATATATGATTTTTGCGTAGTTCCACAAGTAAAGAAAAAAATTTTATATATACAGTATCTGATTTGCTAATCACTCCGAAAATTTGATCTTATCGATCTGTGCGATACAACCAAAAACCAAAACTGCTGTCAGAATGAAAATTAAGTCAATTCAAACTAGTTATATAATCTGACTATATCTATTATGTTTCCTAGAGAAGTTTCAGAAGAACTGGATTATCAAAGTTACATTCATATATAAAAAATACAAGATCTCAGTTTGTCTACCCAAGTGTAAATTTAACAATCCAAAGAGCAATTAATCTATAGGTCATATGTTCTTTTTTAAAGGCAAAACTCTAATTAAAAAGCACTTGGTCTCTATTGAAAAAATATCAAATTCCTTAGTAACCTACTAATATATTAGTCAAACTGTAAACTTACTTGACATAAATTCAATATACATTTAGGTCCTATTATAAGAGCCCTATTCCATTCTGGTTCTTCCAAATCAATATTTCAAATCATATCTAAATAACCTCTATTTGTATACCAAATATCAAAGTGGGGTTCTGGATAATTATATTTAACAATCAAATTATCTATATCAAGGTTAGATACAACTATAAAAAAAATTACCTATTTGTTAAAGAAATACATTATATTGTTAATACAAATAAAATTCTTATTAAATATCAATACTATAGTGATATATAGAAAACTCTAATACTAATATAAGAAGCAATGATTCTATGAACTTATCAAAGAAACAATTAATATTTTCTGATTAATACTTTAAAAAAAATCCTAATCCAACTATATTTCAAAAGACTACGAACTCTATACTTACTGTTGAGATCAACAGTAAAGATATAATTAATATCTTTCCACATTTTAATATTAATATAATAATTTATATTAAATAAATTTTCAAAACAGATCAATGTTTTATTATTATAGATCTAGATATTAAAAATGACTATATAATAGCAAAAGTAAATAAAGTAATTCTCACCTTTCCCTCTGAACACAAGCAACCTATTAGTATTTTTTTAGTCTTAATCAGAATCTTATTAGTAATCAAAAATAATATCTATATATTAATTAATATTATAAGGTTTCCAACTTATTCTTATCAAGCTATACTAATAAAAAGATTAAAGCAACCTATAATTACCTAGTAGGCTATATCATTATCCTGTGTAAATAAACAAAATTAGATTGTAATTAAAAAAACTTGAGTATATCTTTAATCTCTAAAAAAACAATTCAATAATTTGTATAGACAATCTAATAAAAATTAACAAGTATATTACAGAACCACAAGTCAAAAACATGTGAAGCCATAGTATAGTAACCTGAATCAAAAGAATACAGCAGTTCTACAGATAAAAATAAATCCCTAAATTATTTAATATATAAAATTTTATGAATCGATTATGTTTCTTTTAAAAAAACATAATTATTTATTCATTATTTTAATAAGAATATAATTTAAAAAACACTTGAATTAAGTGATCTAAATTGCAAAAAACCTTTGTAGATGGTTTTTTTTTTGATCTTATATTTTAAAAAAAACTTTTTTAATAATAAAAAACATTTGAATTATATCTTTGTCTTTAAATTAGGAACTCATCTTTATCTATAGGCTCATTAATATTATTAACAGTTTATTAATTAAAGACAAATGAAACCAAATGCTATAAACAAAAACATTGCAGCACCTTATATTTGCAAATGTATTGCTGAAACTGTTTAATTTTCATAAACATTACTATCTAATTGCCATTTAATTGTTCCTTAATAGTCAAATAATAGTAACAGAACAGTTACAGTAGTGTTAACTATTTTATCACTGCATTTTATTGCTACTAAATTGCAATTGTATTGTTATTATATTGCTACTATATTGTTACTAAATTATTTTTATATTGCTAAATATAAATAAAAACTATATTACAACTTCTTTACTATCTTCAAATAACTTTTACACTATTGTTATATTGTTATATTGTTGTAGAATCATTACTGTAATTGTAACTGCTTTTTTTCTATATTGTTACTATCACATTATAATATAGTAATAGAATTATATTTAAATTACTACTGCTATAATACCATTTTTTAAAAAAATTATATCACCACTATATTTCTACTACATTGTTACTACATTGTTAAAAAATGATTAATTTCAGTAAAGTAACTTATCAATTAAAAGAATAAATATAACATATCTTCTTTATTAACTTTCAGAAACAAAATCTTAAGTAAAACCTTTTCATTAATAAAGTTATTGCTAAGGATTCTAATAATTCAATTTTCAATTTTCAAATTTATATTATATTTACTATGTGGGTTATAATTCATCATTATTTTTAATAATATTTGAATCTATATAAGTCTATATAAGTCTTTTTGATTCCAATTTGTGAGACTATAGCTATTGTACAAGAGATATTCAAACATATATCAAGATAACCTCTGTTCTAAATGCCTGACAATACTGAAAATTCAAAAGCACATTTTCTAATATTATAAAAATAAAACAATATATAAAAAAATTAAGGTCAAGATAAAATTCAAAATCAATAAGCTTTTAAATAAAGTTAACACAATATTTTCTTATATACAAATCTTAATTTCAACAAAAAATTACAATTGAAAAAATTTGTATAAAATATAACAAATCCTAAATTTTAACTTTTAAATAAAAAATTAGTCAAAATTATAAATATTACTTTAAAAATTTTCTATATAATAATAAAACTATCTAAGTTAGCAATTATGAATATATTAGTAGTATTAAAAAACAAATAGTTCAAAATTTAAAACAAGTCATAAGATAAAAAAAACAAAATTATATCAAGCTTCATTTAAAAATAAAACTTACTTTATTAAATAATTTCTTTAACAGACTTATAGCACACCAAATCAAGTAGTATACTCAAGTAATATAACTTATTATTAGTTCTAAAGGATATTTACTATCTAGCACTAGAGTTAATCTAAGCTATATCAAATATAATAAGAATAGCAATAGTTGGTATTATAAATAGATTAATATTAATTTATATATATTGTTTTTTTTTTTTTAGAAAATAAACAAAATTACTTTATTATAATTTTAAATTTGAAAAATTTTTATATAAAGAAAATAACAACATCACTAATATAACTAATTGATCAATGAGTTTAATACTAGCCTACCTATAATAAACTATCTAAGTTGTAAAAAAAAAGAAATATTAAAATCAATATATTGTTAAAGATAATGTCTAGAAACTATGAATACTTACTCAAATTTGTATGTAAAAAGATTATAAGAAGTAAAAATTAAAGAGAAGAAAAAAGATATTAAGCAAAAAAATAAATATAAAAAAAACTAATTGTAAAGTTAGAAATGTTTTAGATAATATTGCTAGTGTAATGGTGATCAGTAAGTCTGTCACTAATGGGAAGTTAAAGTCGCATAATAATAGTAAGGGTTTATGATGAGGTGGAATTAATTATGACCAAGAAATAATAACTTGTCTTCCTTTATTTAATGCTCTTTTTTCTTTTATATATTTTTACAATCTCATTACATAATAAAAATAACTATGACAAATTAAGTAAAACTATAAAAAATCTTATGACGTAACATTTGTTATTTGATTTTTACACTATTTCTATTACATAATCCCATTAATTAACCTTATAGTGCTATGTTCGATTCTCACACAACCTGGTCACATGGAGTTATTGCGATTGTATTGCAATTCTTCTTTCGACTCCCTTTTTCTAAGCTCATGCTTGTTTCTATTGCACTCATTGTACTTGCTACTGCAATCCTTCTTTCCAATATCATAGAGAAACCCAAAATTCAGCATAAGTCACATCACTTTTTTTCATGTTACACTAGATATATTATGCCGATAATTCCATATAATGAAAGTGAAATGTGTATGTATTTATTAGAAATGGCCAGGCTACTGTTCAAAATATACAATAGTATTAATAATATATTTCTTTGATAATTGATTAGTTGTAATGATTGTATTGTTGTTATATTAATATAATTAATAATTGGTTTGTTTGTTAGTAGTATAATTGATTTGTTTATTAATAATATGATTTTGTTTTGATAATTATTTTTTAAAAAAGTTTTATTTATATTAATTAGTATATAATGCTGTAGTAGTATAAATTTGTTTGAGTAATTAATAATGTTTAATTAGCTTGATTTTAAGATATTAATTAGTTAACAAAAATAAATTAATTGTGATTTTTTTGTGATGCAGCAAAATATACTGGGCAATAGTGAAAAGTAAATAATAAATATATTACTGGTCCTTAAAGTTAACAATATAAATAATTTTAATATGTGGTTTAATTTTTTGGTATACAAAGAAGATTTTTTTAAAAAAAATATGGTTATTTAATATTAGTAAGAAGAACAAATGGAAAGAATTCTAAGAAAAGTTTAAAAAGAAGCAACTGCTACAGGCCTTTCCTTATACAATTTAAAAAAAAAATCCCAAACTTGTTTTTCTTTAATCAAAAATTTCATTCTTATATACTAGTATATTTTTAATTTTCTTAAGATCTTGTAATAAAGATAAAAAATATATAAATGACTTTAGAATATAAAAAGATAAAAAAAATATTTGTTTCTTTAATTTTGAAAGATAATTACTATAAAAGAAAATTTTCAAAAAAAATGTTATATATGAAAGAGTTTTTTTCAATTTTTCAATTAATTTATATATATTATATAAAGATGTTTAATATAATCTGTATATTAATTTATATACTGTTGCAAGTCAGGGGTCTATTAGCAGTAATGGCAAAATTTTAGACTTCGTGACACTTTAACAGGGGTATCTGTTATAACAGGGGGAATTAAAGACAGAAAAAGATGTAGATTTGGCGAGTTTGTGTAATTTGGAGAGATTTTATTAGTCAAAACAGTGTGATAAGTAAGTCGATTTTAACACTCTTTTATTAATTAATTTTTTTGCTCCTTTCCTTT